CCCCAAGTTGGTCACATTGTCATTGGCATGTTTATTTGTTTCGACGGGTACTTTTTGAGTTTCTATGGCATTTGTTTGTGTGTTGGTGTTCTGTTACAGGCACAAGACAAGGCAACAGATCGGGCAGCTAGCAAAAGATACATCTGCGAAATTGAAAGCAGCAAGTGAAGGCGACCATTCTGCAGTCGTTAGCGTAATTACCGACCCACCCATCTACCCACCTACCCACCTACTCACCCACCCACCTACTCACCTACCCACCTATCTAGCCACCTACCCTCCTACCTACCCACCTATCCACCTACCCACCCACAAACCTACCCACCTACCCGCCTACCCACCTACCCTACCTACCTACCCACTTACCTACCTACCTACCTACCCAGCTACCTACCTACCTACCTACCTACCTGCCTTTGCTCGGCCTTGCACCCACTCGTTCTTAGCAAGTGAAGGTGACTGATCTGCTGTCATCACCGTAATTACCCACCTACCCACCCACCGACCTTTTTTTTTTTTTTTTGTTTTTTTTTTTAAAAGAAACTGCCCGATCGGGTGATAGAGGTGCTGATAAGAGCAGACACCACTATCACTGTCGGGGGGCTCCATCTATTGGTGGGGAGCAGCACCTGCTGGAAATCGGGTCCAGCGTCCCTGTGGAGTACAATGAGAACAATATGAGTGATTCTGCTACAAGTTATCGTTTCTTCTACTGTTGTTGATGTACCTTGAGTGTCACTTGCTATCAATCTATTAGTTGCCCTATGTACAATGTGAACAATATGAGTGGTTCTGCTGCAAGTTATCAATTCTTCTACTGTTGTTGATGTACCTTGAGAGTCACTTGCTATCGATCTGTTGGTTGCCCTATGCTGTTATATCAGTCGAATCTATTGTGCCTGTTATGTTTGTTGAATCTATTTTGTAAATCCCACTTTAAACTATTCAATTGAGAGCAAGACTCTGAGTATCAGTGTGATAGGGGGCGATGGGCGGTAAGCTACCCAGCTCCCAGTTAGTTCTGTCCGTGACGTGGCCTGATGTAGTCTCAGTCAAGTCTCCAGTCCATTATACTGTGCTTTGCCTTATCTATATACCGTGTTATACAGACCCATTTCTATGTAATTGAACTCAATGATAGTCTCAACTGGGCGGTTATTTACCCACTAAATTCCTACTTCCCCCATGCCCCATTTCCTTTTCTATTCCGTCGGGCCCTATCCTCTCTGCCCCTTCCATCTTTTCGTAGTCCCCATGCCCTTTTCAGCTCTGCTAGGCAACTCATTTCCCCTTGCCTCTTGCATCTTTTCCTAGGCCCCCCCCCTTTTCAGTTCTTCAGTCTCTCTTCCCCTAGAGTCCAGTCTTCCCCGCTCCCCTTATCCCCTCCTTCCCCGCCCCCCAATGCCCCCCCATCTAGTGGTCCTCCTCTGCTGACATCAATGTTGGGGTGCTGGTGAAGACCTCCTCTTCGTGTCGCCAGGGTGTAGCTCCTTCATCTGCATACATCCGCTTTCACCATTTGGGGAGGACCCATCTTGGCCGGCTTAGAGAGAGAAGGGCAAAGCGGGAAAGAGCAGGAGGTGGGTTGCAGGTATAAGGAGGGAGAGGGTTCGGGGGGGAGGCAGGAAGAGGGGGAGGGGGAGGGGGATTTGATTGGGTGGGACCTCCTGTGACACAGGTCGTGGTTTCAGTGTTCTTCAGCTCGGGAGCATGATGAAGTTGGTTGGTCGGAGCGAGAATTGAAAGTGGCTCCTAGGTAAGCGTTCCCATTGGGGTTCCGTAGCCATCCAATGTTTCCATCGCAATTGGTTATATTGGTTTAGTTCACACAGTTTCTCTCCGTTATCCACCCAAACGGCCCGAAAGTTGTCAGAAAGCTCCCTTCTTTTGGCAACATCTAGCTCTTTCTGGAGCATTGTTGTGAGCTCATGCCAGGCCGCTTGAGTTCTTACTATGATCGCTTCGTGTACCGAAGCCCGAGCCTCCATGTATCCATATGTATGTTGGTTGTGCTCGTGGGCACATCTCATCCGCCAGGCGGCCATGAGTATCGGCAGCCGCGTTACTGCCAGCAAATTTAGGCTGAAGGGTGTCCACATCTCCATTTGGGAGGGGGGTTCCCCCAGCAGTATGGTCTTAAGATCCCACGACAGGTGGTTGCCTGTGAGGTAGTGCCATGCTGCATCCCACCATTGCCAAATTTGGGCCACCATGGTGCAGTCCACTAGGCAGTGTTCCAACGTGGCTCTTTTTCTGGGGGGCATCCTAGTGCAATATGTGCAAATTGGGAACAGTACACCCTGTTCTTCCAAGTTTGTTCGTGACACAATCCAATCCGGGGTTGGAAGACACCTGTGGATGATCTGCCACTGAAGCGCACGCAGGTTGGTGGGCCGAATAGTTGAGTGAGAAGGCCACCTTAACGTATTGATGTGACCCTTGGCGAATCCCTTGCCCACCTCTGTCTGATTGGTTCAGCTATTTCTATCGGTTTCCTAGCTGCTCTGTACCCGTCCTTCACTGTATACTGCCAGATCTGCAATTTCCGGGAGCCCCCCATGTCCCATTCCCATTCCTGGGGATCAAATGGCAGGTAGGCGAGGGGAGTTGCCGGGTCATATACGAAGGATCCCGCATGTCTGTCTGTGATTCCACAAATTCGTACTAGCCCATCAGTGGGCGCCTGACGGTCCAGGTCATCGCTTCGATCTAGTTTTGTCCACCTTTCCCCAGGGAGGCGAGGTCTGTACGCCTGCAGTGTCCCTTGGTGCACGTCAGCCTCCACCTTATAGACCACCATTGGGATCGGCCAGTCATCCGGTCGGACCACCCAGTCCCCTTGCTTTATGGTCGGGCCTCTCCCAAGTTCGAGGACCCATGCTAGCCTCTTGAATCTCTCGCAGGCCATCTGCAAAATTTCTGACCCGACTCATCTGTTGGCGCAGCTCGCAGTCTGCGAGCCACGTGCCGTCGTGGACACTCCACAGATCTGCTACTGTATATATTCCTTTTTTTACCCAAGGAAGCCACCTGGATCCGATTTTTAGTGAAAATGGCTTTCCTGTGTGATCCAATATATATGGGTTTCCAAAGATGGGCTGTCTCCATATTTCTTCCCATCGCAGCGGGACAGCCTTTTGGGTTGGACCTCGTTCCCTCCATAATTTCAACATGTCTCTCCACATTGGGTCAGCCCTAAGGTCCCATTTGGCTGTAGATGGTGGCGTGTCGTCAGTTCTGTTGCGAGCGGGTGCAGGGATCGACCAGTGGCTGTTGGTCAGCCATTGTAGTGGGTGGACCTTATTGCTGTCTAAGCATTGAGGGGCCAGGGCGGAGATCTGAATGGCTGCGTATGGTGCCCAGGGAATGTCATTGCCTAGCAGCCACCTTATAAGGAACTTGAAGATTAAAGCTTTTATCTCGTTCTCCGGATCAATTATCCCCAGCCCTCCCTTGGAGCGCGGCTGAGTAATAATGGCCCATGCTACCCTTTTAATGCACTCGGTGTGTTCCTGGTCCCCACGCCACAGGTAGGCTGATGCAGCTCGTTTGAGGGTCGCTAATTGTTTCTGGTTCAGTTGCCAAAAGGCCACTTTATACCAGATTGCAGCAAATATGGCGTTGTTGATTGCTAATGCTCTACCCACCAGCGAGGTGTGGACTGTTTTCCAATCATTCATACGTTGGATAGCTATCTGGACCAAGTTATCACCGTGATCTTGAGGAGGGCCCAGCGCTGTGAGATTTACTCCGAGCACTCTTATAGCCGCATCCCGGGGTTTCCAGTCGACCCTCGGGGCCTCAGGCGGGGGGTTGTTGTCCCCACTCTCAGTGAGCCACCATCCTTCTGTCTTTGTGCCCCAGTTGACTTTCATATCTGCTGCAGCTTCAAATAGATGGATCGTGTGTGCCAGCGCTTGGAAGCTGGCCGGATCAGCTCGGAATTGGACAGTGAGGTCATCAGCGAAAATGGATGTAACAGGAATCAGGTGATAGGGAATTTCGGGCACCACAATTCTTTGGATTTCAGGATTGGCCCTTATCATTGCCGCCAGTGCTTCCATCATCAAGACAAACAGCATTGGAGCAATGGGGTCTCCTTGTCTAACAGATCTCTGCAGTTTAATTGGCGGTGCGAGGTGCCCATTCATCATGATGTTAGTGGCTGCTGTTCTGTGGAAAATATTAACCCATTTGAGGAAGCATGGCCCAAAGTTCATTTTATGGAGGCACATTTCCAGAAAGTCCCAATCTACATGATCATATGCTTTCTCAAAGTCAATGAAAAGTATCGCAGCATCCACCCACCGACCTACCTACTTACCTACCCACGTGCCGACTCACCTACCTCCCTACCTACCTACCCACCTACTTACGTACCTACGTACCCATGTACCTACCAACGTTTGCTCAGCCTTGCAGCCAATCATTCTCTGACCATGCTGGATCCGGTACCTGGTCAGTAGTTACTGGTATGCTAACTGCAAGAAGCAGGAGCCTGTACCTGGACAGCGGACCGGCATAGGAATTAGTTCCATTGGAACCTCAGAGGCCCCTTGCTTGAATGGTGTCGGAAAGGAACAGGGTGACTCCCATCCACTAGCGTACCTGGGAAGAAGGCTCTCGCTTTGATGGAAGGAAGTATTTTTCTCAGGTGCAGGTTGTGTGATTCATGTGATGCCTGGTGATGTTCGAGATATGCGCGAAAGGGGTCTTACCGTTGGCTTATGTCATGTGCTCTGTCTGCTGCCCTGGCTTCCTTTGGAACCCCGGGGGCTTTCGAAACATTCATCACCAACCAAAATCTGACCCTTGCAGGTGATAATGGCACTAAAAAAAGTGCATACATCCTACCCTCGCTCCCTCGCTTCCTGCAATATTCAGACCTTGATTGGCGTTAAACCAGCACCTCAGGGGGTCTGCGCAATGTTGTTGCTTTTCTTGGAAGTGGGTGCTGTAATGGGCGGCGGGGGGCTTTCGAGACGAGACACGGATTCGTCAATGGTGGAAGGAGACGGTGGCATTTGGGTTGGGTGATGAATGGCCCAAATGTGTATTAGAGGCTATTTTGCTTGACACGTGGGGCATTCTCTCTCCCTGCAATAACGAGTGTGCAGCACCACCCTCGTCAGAGTCGAGTATACAATAAAACTGTGTATTCTCAAAGCAGATGGGGTGATGTAGTAAAGTCCATGGACTGTGTTTGAATCGAAATGAGGGTGTGACTCTGATGCTTGCGTTTCCTTTCCTCCCCCTCCCTTCTAAGTTCATTCCTTCCCATGGCTCCCCTTGTTTGCCTCCTTCCCCGCCTCCTCCCTCCTCCCCTTTCCCTTGTCTTGTTCAGAGTCTCATCATTTATCGCTTGGCGCTTGGCTATGATGTGTACGTATCGGCGGTTGTCTATGATCGG